AAAGTGTGTGAAGAGCTGGGTGCTGGTGGTTCATACCTGTAATCATAGCTACTGAGGAGGCTGAGAATTGAGGATCATAGGTCAAAGCCAGCTCAGGCAGGAAAGTATGTGAGACCCTTATCTCCAATACACCACCAGAATACCAGAAGTGGTGCTGTGGCTCAAGTGGTAGAGTGCTAGCCTTGAGTTGAAGAGCTGAGGGACAGCACCCAGGCCCAGAGTTTAATCCCCACGACTGGCCACAAAACAAGGAAGAAGAAGAAGGAGGAGGAGGAGGAGAAGGAGGAGGAAGAGGAGGAGGAGGAGGAGGAAGAGGAGGAGAAGTGTGTCAAGAAAGTATTTGGAATAGACAAGATTTATGAACCTATCAAATTTTATGATAGCAAAGAATAAGTACTCAAATGTAGAATATCCAAATTCAATTTTTCACAGAGGACAGGATGAAGAGATTGGAGCAGGCCAAGTTTTCCCTGGAGCTGTAAGCTTGATTAATAATGTTCTGGAAAACTCTCAGTAGGTGGGAAATGACTTTAAAAGTACAATTCAATTATGTCAAGTAACTGAAGTTCAGAAAGACAAATTGGCTTATTTTCTGTCATATGTGAAAGTTAGATCTAAAATACAAACACGAAACATGACCTCTATTAGGAACAACATACATGGCCATAAGCGTGGAAACATACTCAAAATCACTAAAGTATTGGGTGGATTTCAGTGGTGTATGGTTTAACAAAATGAATACCAGGATGCTTAAACATGCCTTGTCTGAAGGATAGTGCTTGAGGGGAGGGGAATGGGGAATATGGAGAGAAGTGTAGGCAAATTCACTGAAATAATCATGTACATAGGTAAAAATAGAACTAGGAAACTTGAAGGGATGGGACTTTCTAGGTATGTGGGCAGAATGATGGAAATGATGACTGATCAAGATCTTGATCAGTCTTTGTCAAGATCCACTGTACACAAAAATTCACAGGTTGAATTCAAACTCTTTGTACAACTATTTAAAGACAATAGAAAAATAAAATAAATAATAAAAATAACCTTCCTTCCCCACTTCCAGTTATTTTCTTTTTTCTTCTTTTTTTGTCAGTCATGGGATTTGAACTCAGGGTCTGGTTGCACTCCTTGAGATTTTTCAATCAAGACTAGTGCTCTACTACTTTTAATCATAGCACCACTTCTGGTTTTCTGGTGGTCAACTGGAGATAATAGTCTTACAGACTTTCCTGCCTGAACTGGATTTGAACCATGATCCTTAGATCTTAGCCTCCTGAGTAGCTAGGATTATAGGCATGAACCACTGGTGCCCACCTTCCAGCTATTTCTAAATGTAGATCAAAGACTGAGATTGTGATATAGTGCAATCATTTTACTCATATCATACTTTTTTCACTGTAGCTTACCTTTAGTTTGACCTTTTCTTGAGTTATCACAGCAAGTTTCCTTCTATCAAATGGATCAAAAGGACACATTGCCACCTATCTCCATGGTGTCCTAGCTGTTTCACTTCATCTGGAACTGAGTGGGGCTGTTGACCTAACAAGAGGAAAATGGTTTGTGGATCCTTATAAAACTGTGGGAAGAAATGGACAAAACAGAGTCTGTGTAGACTTTGAACTAATGATGCCAAACCATGCCATATCACATGTACTTAAAGTCATTGCAGTTTAATAAATTGCAGATTAATATATCTTCAGCAAATGTCTTCATCATTTATGGTGAAATGAGTCCCTACTAGATTTAATGATATGTATTGAATACTTTTTAATAAAAGGCAAAATTTGTACCATTCACTTATATTTAGGATTTAACCATGAGAAAGCTATATTTCATGCTAGGCTCTTTATATGTTCCTCTCATTTTTGTACATCACAAATATATTTATGATTCACAGATTTTTGTCAAGGCAGTTAACCCTCCCAAATATCTGGAAGAGTCTTCCCTTGCGAGACTGTGTTTTCTCTCCTTTCATTTCTTAGATTCTGAGTCT